TTGCATTTTTGCATTCTCGCTGGGTTTCTTCTGGTGGCTTCCAGGACAGAGGTTTTTTCTGAACCAGTGGTGAAAATATATATTAAATAAAAATTCTTTTCTAGGGTAGATAAAATGGTCACCTTAAGATTTGCCGCCCTATAAAACCAAAACCAGAAGGTGGACAGAGACAAAAACACAAAATCGGATATTATTACTAATACATTAAAAAAATAAGCAAACAAGCTTTGCAAAAATTAGGGAGACTTCGAAAAATCTTTCCAAACTAACTACACTACATCATACTAAAATCGACTAAAATACTATAATGTCAGCTGTCAAAATGGCGTCGATAAAGCAGCGCCCTTTTCTGACTCTTTATTATTTGATTGACCGATGAAGAGCTATCATATTACAGAGCCATCTATGCAAACAATGCTGTAGTTTTTGAGATATAAAGAAGTGACCATATTTACTGGATGACCATATTACCTTCACGTACTATATTTTATTTTATTGTAGTGTTTGTACTGTAAGTTTTAATTGTTACTTAGTACACTACAACGATGTATCACTTATTTGTTGTTGTTTTTTAAAATAATTTAGCATAGACACTTTTTTAAATGAAGTCACAAACTAACTTACAGTCCAACTTATGACAAGTAGCTACTGCATTTTTTTATTAATTGGCTTTAGGGCTCTGGGTGCTAGCCCTTCTGAGGTTGCTGCTCAGTTCGTAAACAACTGCAGCCTACCTCAAACAAAGAGGCTACACATATGTTGTCAACTCTGAGGACTAAGATGGAATGCCTGACAGTTTGTAATTATACTGACCCTCTATTCAAACTGAAACACAGCCAGTACAAGCACTACTATTTGCTGGTAGAAATAGGTTAAAGCTCTAGCCCGAGGGACAAAAAAGTGTTCTAATTTGTACCCCGGATGGGACAGGTACGAAGTATCAACCGGAGAGGACACCTGCGTCTCGGTCAAAAAGGTTGGCTTCGAGTGAAAATCCCTGATATCGCGGAAGTTTACGGCTAGCGTTTCAGAGGTTGCCATGGTTTTATCGCTCTGTTTGTACCGTGCAGTGTTAGTAGTAAGCGGGATTTTGTCACCGTCCCCCCAGAATACGCTGGGCAGTCTGAGTAGCCACGCTCAGGAAGGGAAAATTAGCTTGGACGGATACTCAGTGAGTGATACTTGCTCAGATAGAGTTCTTGGCAAAAAAGGGTTGCTACAACCTAGTCCAAATCTGCCTGTAAAATAAAATGGTGATGAATGTCTTCCTAACACTACACGTTTAAATAAAACTAGTTTTTACATTTATTGCCTATATTAACTTCTTTTATATTTCCGACGTTTCGAGTACTTTACGACACCCATAGTTAGGGGAAACACGGTTGTTCGACGCCCAAATGTCATAGGTAACCACTGCTAGCTTTGGTTTAAAATTTGACGAGTGTCGTAGTGGGCAACGGTTACCTGCTGCGACTGTGGCTTGAAATTAATTCAAACTGAAGAAAGTCATGGTTAACTACGGCATTAGGACGGCGAACACCTCAGTTCCTAAGTGACCATGGTTCTTAAGTACTCCAGCTCGTTTTTACGTGGTAGAGCCACGCTGCAGCTATTATGTTATAGTTGTAGTACGAATATGGAACGGCACGAAATAGGGTTGGCTCGACCGGGGGAAGACCACGCTCTCGCAGAATACCAGCGTAAAATAACAGCATAAAACTGCTGTGTTTCGTATGATGAGTGTAGACAACCGGAGACCCTGTTTACTGGTACCGAGGCATGTTCCCAGTAAAGGATCTCCGATTCTCTACACTCACTTTACGAAACACACAGAATAAATCTACTAATTTACGCTGGTATTCTCTGAGAGCAGGGTCCTTCCCCGGTCAAGCTGACACATTCGTGATAGTACTTTAACATAGCTGCAGCATGGCTCTACAACGTATACATAACGCAACGCAGTAAAATTTAATTCCATTAATTGTTTTAAAAAGATCACTGATGTTCTAACTAAACATGTATAATAATCCCGTATCACGACGTCCGTTTACGCTAAACTCCGAAACTGCTCAACCGATTTTTATGAAATTTTGTAAATGTGTATTGCTTGCTTCAACTTAAGAGATAGGATTTTTTATCTCGATAAGTATCTTTCAATAATATTTATAGAGAGTTAAAGTTTTTTTTAGGAGAAAGGGTCATCGAAAAGGGCAGAACAACGTCTGCCTGGCCAGCTAGTAATTTTATATACCTAAAGCATTTTGTATAGTAAAACTAATCGAACGTGTGGTAGCAGAGTTAGAGAATCCATCACCTATTCTATTCCTATCTCTTTCTTATCCTATTTGTGTGGCACTACGATTAACAATCCGCCTGCAAAGCGTTAGCATTAGTCAGATCCTTCCTACAGAGGGAGAGGGCTCGCCTCCATGTTCAGAAGTAAACTTTTACGTAGCTATCACGTACGCATACTTTTTATTAAATAATGTTTTCCAATTCGGGCTGACTCATTGTTACTGCAGCTCTAATTCTCAGTAGCTGCCCGGGTTTGGGAAGTTGACAGTATTTCACACCTGTGCTTCGAAAAGCATGCAAATCTGATCTCTCTCGGGTCGTGTCGGATAACCGTCCCATCGGACTAAGGGACACACTCCCTTATGCGCTCATGCACTATCCGATGGTTCCGTTAAGACTGGCCGTAGTGACCTTAGACCATTTTTAACGGTCTAAGGTCGTGACAGATATTTGGCATAAGTAGAGGACATTACCGGAAACACTTTTTACTGAGGCAATGAAGCATTTCATCTTAATCCTAAGGGATGATAACGCTTTTGCATTTTGCTCTTTACTTGAGCGTAAATGTGGGTGTCTATGAGCCACAGTATCCACTAGCCTTCAGGTAAACTGTGTGCTCGTTTTTTACCATTATTCTATAAAAAAGGTCTTCACAAAGTTTTCCTTCACCACCGAGCACGTGATAAATCATCACCTAGACTGTAATTAAAAATTTCATTTGTGCCGGAATGGATGGAACCCGGGCTGCTCGTATACTGTGAATTTTCCAACGAGCGCATAGACCCTGACCTAAAACTTATTTAAAATATGAGTTACAAATACATTAAATAAAATAAAATAAAACATTATTTACATTGATATTGTCTATAACAAACACATAAATGATTCTTGGACAAATTATTTCAATTACCATAACATAGTTGAAGCACCATACGAAACACAGCAGCATTTGTATAATCTACAAATAATTTCATCAGGTATGTATGCTGTCCTGGTGCAATATATGTATTTAACTGCCTCCACGATACAAGAAAAACTATTAGTTTGGAGGTAATGTTTAAAGAATGGAGGTAATGCAAAAAAAATGGGGGATATATTACACGGCACCTACCACTGCACGACGCAATACTTATGCTACAACTTAGAAAAATATAATGCACCTATGGAAATAAGACATCCACTCACAGAAGCACCATACGAGGGCCAATAGAATTTTTAATATTATTACAGAACAGCTGTGAGAATACGTTTTAAATAAGTTGTTATGCTTGAGTACCGTATTGTGAGTTAGGAAATAGCGAGCACCGGAAAAAAGCTGGCACTACCCATGTAGACAATGAAATGTGGGAATGAAGCATTAATTTAACAAAACGATGCAGGGTTTCGTACATGTTCAATTTTTTTTATATATAATAAGGGATGGATGCTATGGAGCCCATAGACATCCAGATCTATCACCGATTAAGAATCAAAATGCAAACGTGTTATCACCCCTGAAGTCTAAGATGAAATGCCTTGTTTCTAGTAAAAAGGATCTCCGGTTGCCTAGTAACATTATTTAATCTGTGTCTCCAGTTCCCTACACTCGCCATAAGAAACGCAGTTTAGCAGTTCTATTTTAGGCTGGTATTCTGTGAGAGCGTGGTCCTCCCCCATTCAAACCAACGCATTAATGCTATAACCATTATATAGCTGCAATATGGAAAATGTGACTATTAGTGTTTGTTAATATGTGAGTGATATGTGATTGAGTGAGTATCTGAGATGATTTGTTTTTTGATGTTAGACGTTTTTTAAAATCACACCGAAACATACGGGTGAAGTGAAAATACGGGTGAGAAAAGTGAACGGTAACTAAAAGCTCTTCTAATCTTCTTGGTCTTGCCTTAATAATTAGAAAACTTTAGTCTTATAGATCTAAGTACAGTGTCATTATTTATCTCATATAGCGCACGTGAGGGTAATTGGTCACACTGCCTTGTTTAACTTCATCAATCAATCAAATAACGTAAAGTCAAAATGGCACTGCTTTATCGGTGCCAATTTGACAGTTGACAGTATAGTAAATATGCACATTAACACTGAGTTTTTTTAAGTTGATTTTAGAAGTGTTCCCCAATTATTGCCAAAAATCGTTGTCAACTTAGCGACGGTAAAACGAGATACACTCACCATGTGAAATACCGCATTAAACTGCTAGTAGTAGTAGTGAGGGAGTGGTCTCACCCCGATCGAGCCGACCCATTCGTACTGCAACTATAAAGTAGCTGCAGCTAGGCTCTACCACGTACACCCGTGTTTTTCAACCTGTGGGTCGTGCCCCCCATTGGGGTCACCAAGTTATATTCAGTGGGTTGCGGTCGCAAGCCAGGTAAAAGTAAAAATTAACGGTTATTGGTCTTAAACTATTACAAAAATACAACTTTTTTATTTTGCAACATTTTCAGAGATAAGACTGTTTTTTTTTAATAAATTGTGGAATCGTGGGCGTATATTTGCGACGTAAATAATTAAAAGTAATTTTCTATTTGGTGCCTATTTTCTGCTTAATTTTTTACGTTTACCATAGACGAAAACGTTACTTCATAAAGATAGGCAGGTGGTGAATGGAACTTATAATTTTAAAGCTTCCCTTGTCTGGATATTTTTCTTTTCTTTTCATCCAGAAGCTATTAATCGTTTGCGAATTAAATTCCATTTTAACCATGCCGTCAGCAGCTATATCTATAAGATTTGATTTCATCTTCATGGTCATTCAAAAAGTATAAGTATCCATCTATGCTCGAGGTTAACTTCAGAGCCCAGTTCTGAAAAGTAACTTAATAGATTCATTTCCAAATTATGCAAGCTCTTTATCTTGCAAGGAATGATAGAACTTACTACCAAATGTTGGCTCCTTTCAACTTTTTACTTAAATTGTAAAGACGCTGACCACAAACTAAGTTTTACAAGGCATCCTTTGATTTTATCCTTAGCCGTTATATTTTTCTGCTCTCCTTTGGAGGCTCTTATTTAAACAACTTCAATGGCCAGAAAATCAGCGAGAAATGCTAAGTTACATAACCAATAAGGGGCACAAAAACAATTCGTATATTCCTATTTAGCATATTGTAATTAAAAGTTTGTGTAAACCCTCAAACAAAACACGCATTTTTGATATAACAAGTTCAATAAGTCACTAAAGATATATAGAGTTATAAGAAACGTAATATAATTGTATGGGAATTTCTAAATAAACTAAATTACGAAGACACAGAGAAGTTGTTAGAGTTCTAAAATAATTTTGATTTAGTTATTTGATTTATTATATAATATAGTTTAATTATTCAAATTATCTAGTGTCCTACATTACTAAACCCATAGTATAAGTGATGGTCTGAAACACAGGTACTTAAACTTGTTCAGGTAGGTAGCTAATGTTATAAATTTGACTTTTCAATTTTGCTTTTGTAGATTCTACATTATAGTTTGAATTCATTATAGTGTGTAATTTTTGTTAGACTTTTTGTTACTTTATTTAATTGTAATCATATTTGTTGCTGTATGTAAACATATGTAATTGGAAATGAAATAAAAATATATATATATATATATATATATATATATATATATATATATAACATTAACAAAAGTACCCTATGTCCCTATGCTCGTAACGAAACATATCCCTATTCAGTCATACTATGCACTGTCAGCCACTGACCTAATCCACCTCCTCCTCTCTGCCTTGCTGCCTCTGCGGCAAATTGTCCGCGACTACTTTGCATCGCACTTGGATTCTTGATCAGTAGTCAGTAGATATATCTTAATAAAAGCATAAAAATATTAAATCGTTTTTGAAATCACTGACATAATTTTACTATAGGTCGCGAATTAGAAAACGTTAAAAATACTGCCGACCAAATTAGCCAAGAGTATTTTTAACCAACTTCAAAAAGGAGGAAGTACTCAATTCGACCGTATTTTTTTGTGTTTTATTTGAAAGCTGGTGCTTTTAATGTGGTCCCGTATAAATATGATTAAGATCTGACCTTGTTTTTGAGTTATTCTTAATAATGCGTATTTAATTGTCTCCGACTACATTGATGATGTTTTCATTTTATTTATATTGAAGTCAGTTGTACAATTTTTTTTATTTTACCACTTGTTACTCTGCGGGATAGTGCGTGTCACGTTTTAATGAAAACATTTAAAATTGGCTAAAGTTATGCAAAATTTAAAAAAAGAGTAGAAGTAGAAGTAGTAGAAGTTACAGAATGCAAAATGGATGTATCTCACAAAAAGCTACTTTTGATACACTGGCTTTTAATGTTTTAAAATTTAGATCGATGTTGGGAGATAATGACCTGCTTCTAGTGTAGACAGTAAAGCATATTATAGCATACATAGCTTCTAATTATTACCGGGCGTATCGCACCCTTGACACTGACGTGGAAATCAGCACTCAAAATTAAAATTTACAATTTCATTGGTGCCAGCTTGGATCGATTCAGAATTGCTCGCGTACTATGAAATCTACATTGAACGTTTAGATCCTAAGCAATCACGGATTACTATATATTCTACAGGTACTATACGTAAAATAATCGTATTTTTTTAAACAACAATAATAATTTAGACAATTAGTTTCCTGTCTAATGGGTCGGCTCGACCGGGGATTGACCACGCTCTATGAAAAGAGCTTAATGCTCTTCTGTCATACCACCGGGTGGACCATGTGCTGGTTTTCCTCCCTTATTATATAATATTAAAAAATAATAATTTGGAAAATCCAAAAAGACATGCCTCAATTAAACAACTAATTACGCAATTAATTTGAATGAAATAATAAATTACCAAAATAAATCGATTACACAAAGTATTAAATCGATATAGGTTGTATGGTACATTTGATCTTTGTCTATAAAATTCATATGAAAATTATAAGTTAGGAGATACATTCATAAAAAAAATTATTAACAAACTACGCTTACTAGCCTGTATAATGAAATAGAAAACCAGCTGATGTCATTCGGGGGATATTAAAAAACCCGGTCTCTATAAGTCAGTTTTTTTGAGAATTATCGTAACCACATACAAAATCAGCGTATAGATATCCGGTCGTCCATGTAAAATTTTTGTCAAACCTTTTTTTTTTCAAAGTAGCAATATAAAATGAATTTTAGAAAATATAAGAAAGGATTCATTTGATTGTTTTCTTAATATACGGCTACTCCTCATATTATCGTATAAATGCAATATAGTTATGATAGAGGCATTTTTAGTCCACAAAATTGCATGATCTTGACGTGTCGGGAGTAAAGCACCTCAAACGTTAGCGTTATGAGACGTGCAATTACCGATATTTATGGAGCCCGAGCACTTTACAGCACCCATACTAACATGGGTGTTGTAAAGCGTTCTTAAAACCTTAAATATTTTTCTTCCTTATCAATCTACTCGAATAAAGGACCACTTGTATATAGAAGCCTCTACCACCGTATGTACGATTATGCTCAATCTGTCTGGGTATTTATATTTTTTTAACTTTTTATAAGCCAATGCTTGACCACAATCACCCCGGTGGTAAATGATGATGAAGCCCTAGATGGTATTCGATGGTACACCACCATCCATCACCCGCCAGATCTTTTTTGTATTTCTCAACGATCGTACCTTATGCTAACCATTGTACAAATGTAATTTTTTAAACTAGATGTCGCTGGCATCGTTTTAAGAAATCTGTCTTTCATAATTTAGTGCTAAAATCATGAAATAAATATTATCTACGTCGGTTTGAACTATTTTTAATATTTTTTTTCAAAACTTGTTGTATGTTAAGTTATATTCAATGCAAGCACTAAATTAACTCATTAATGCACCCTGAAGCCCTTCCTGCAATCCCATTGCAGGACTCCGAGAGAGGCCCCGTGCACATGGTGACCGCCGTTTCCATGGCAACGGGTTCAACGACCCACGCACAACCTTCACTAGTGGATTTTCCATAATTTAAATGATAATTTTCAGCGACTTTACCCATAACTTATTAAAATAACATGTTTTAGTTCGGGTTTGTATTATTTTTGGTTTTAAATGAAATATGAATAGAGTATTTTAAACTTACCATTAACTGTAGTTAAATAAATCTTGCCAAGCACTAACACTAAATTAAACTTATAACAATATGTAAGTTACTACACTAATTTATTTCAAACTTATATTAATTCGTATACAAAAACAGGCCACCGGTATATTTTGTTTCTTTCACAAACGTAAAACTACTGTACTACTGTACTGTACTCTACCAGCTCGCACTTTACCGATCTGTCCACTTATCAAATATCGAATTTCACATTTTTGAACTGGCAACTTTTTTCGTAAAAAAACTGTAAAATACATCAAAAACATTCGCGTGCCAGTACATATCAAGGAATGCGGCCAGTCGGCGCGGTTCCGTACGTACAAAGCAACCAATTTAATAAAACGATTCCACTATGATGATCTGTACAATATTCAATCTTACCATTCGCTCAATAAAAACTATTTACTTTGCTTTGGCGGGCCAAGATATCCCGGACATGGTGTACTGTCGGATAGCATTTTCAAATTGTGCCGCGGAAAACTGGCTTTTCTACTCTACATGTAAATGCCAATTTCCTTTCTACTACATCTATGCAATTCAGTTACGACCCTATAGTTATCAATATAAGGTTTGAATTGAACCGGCTTGCCGGGTCAGACAATGCGCCACGCAATGACGTTTGCGAGGTAAGAGAAAATGGTATAATTTTAAGGTGTAAGAGGGAGAGGAAATATACCTAGGGAGGGTACGCGAGGGTGCATTTGTGCGTTTCAAACGAAACGTCAAGCTTAATATAAAGAATCGATCTTGAAGACGCTTGCAAAAACTTTTGGACTGAAAGGACATTATGTGTTAAAGAGCAGAAGCGAATGAAAATAAAATTAAATAAAAACTGTTTATTTTTCTATGTGAGAAACTAAAATTTTGTTTGTTAAATTGTTAATTACAAAGTACTCGAGCAACCCGGGTTCGATCCCCGCCGACAGCAAGGAAATTGTTAATTGCAATTTTAATTGATAATTTATCATGTGCTCGGCGGTGAAGGAAAACATCCACCAAACATCAGGGGAAACTGCATGTCGGAGAAATAAGAACAAAAAATATAATTCAAGACATGTGAAGTTCGCAAACAGGCATTGGGGCAGCGCGGCGGACACTTCCTTGCCCTAAAACCCTCTCAAAAAGCAGAATACACAGCAGTGAAACGCATACAGGCTGTAACTTTAAATTACCTTAAACTTTTGTCAAACGACGACATGTTTTATAATCTAATATACCTATTTTTAACCTGAAGTTCCTCTGTCCGAAAAGAACACAGAAAGAAACTTCGCAGTTATCGTCTTTTTTGCCTTCTTTTTAAAGCTAATAATATAAGAATTTTAATCAACATTGAAAATGAAGTATCCTTGAACGCAGAGTAGGTAGTAAATCCGAATTATTATTTTGTAAGGTTACAGTTTGTAAAATAAAAACCTACAGCCAAAGAAAGTCCAGTCGGTATGATAATACGCGACTGTAGGCTGCCAAAAAAAAATCTATACTTTTCAATCGATATATTTTCATGGACTCACTCTTGGTCTTGGTCGATTTTGGTCACTACGGCCATTCTCAAGAGACTAGACATCTACGCAGTACAGAATTGCAATGCATGAATGTTTGCGCAAGCATAGGTGCTCTTTCTTTTCCCTTTTTCTCTCTCCGACAGTCAGATCAGGTGCAGAACCCGATGGCTTCACGTGCTTTCCAAGGCACGTGTGTGAAGCAACGCCAACTCCTGACACAGTGAAGACATTACATTTTAATTATAAATATCAGGCTTTATTCAATTTACTTTACTTTTTTTATTAAATTTAGGAAAAACGGAAAAATTAGAAAGTTGTGTTTGTTCCAAAAAATGAGGAGTAAGAAGACTTCCCTCACTTCACTTTCATATAGAAATAATATTGATTATTGGATGGTGCATTATTTAAATTGTATGTTATAAATTTAATAGAATATTTATTTCTAAAACAACATATTTCGCAAACAACTATCGCATATTAGGTATTATTTAATAAATGTGAGACAGTTGCAATTTATAGAAGCAGGCAAAGTGATTTAGAGTATAAACTCTAATCTGTTAACGAGTCACGGCGCTTTTTAAACAGGATCTGGAAATGTAACTCATGCTTTCAAATGACGTCCTTCAGAGTTGACCGGGAAATAATAATGCCGGGATTTTTGCCTACATTTACGGCGCAAGGGCAAATTTATCATAGAATAGGTTCACTTTTTCCAGCTGAAAACGAACAGCATAAAAATGAAAAATCATAATATAATCATAGCGTATTTAGCGCTATATATATATTTTTTTATATATATATATTAGCTAAAAAACGCTCAACTATTTGAAATAAAAGTTGCGCTGGATTTCTTGCTGGATCTTTACAGGACAGGCGTTTTTTCCGAAGCAACAATGGTAAAAGTAAAAAATTACTTTCAATAAAAATTATTCTATTCTGATTTATTATACACTATTAGGGCAAGGAAACGTCCTTTTCCTTACTTTTTTTTATATGCTATTCTTTTTCTATTCTATTCCATTGTAACATCTTTTAAACCGGAAATTAAACATTTGAAATACACTATCACTCTACGCGCAACAAACTGACGAAATATCGCTATGTTTACCGAATCGCGTGCGAGATATCTCGGAGGGCGCGTCGCGGCAGGGGGAATCCCTGATGAGGCGCTGCAGTCTGGAGAGCAGGGAATCCCTGATGAGGCGCTGCGGTCTGGAGAGCAGGGAATCCCTGATGAGGCGCTGCATTCTAGAGAGCAGGGAATCCATGATGAGGCGCTGCAGTCTGGAGAGCAGGGAATCCCGTGAGGCGCTGCGCAGTCTGGAGAGCAGGGAATCCCTGATGAGGCGCTGCAGTCTGGAGAGCAGGGAATCCCTGATGAGGCGCTGCAGTCTGGAGAGCAGGGAATCCCTGATGAAGCGCTGCAGTCTGGAGAGCAGGGAATCCCTGATGCGGCGCTGCATTCTAGAGAGCAGGGAATCCCTGATGCGGCGCTGCAGTCTGGAGAGCAGGGAATCCCTGATGAGGCGCTGCAGTCTGGAGAGCAGGGAATCCCTGATGCGGCGCTGCAGTCTGGAGAGCAGGGAATCCCTGATGAGGCGCTGCAGTCTGGAGAGCAGGGAATCCCTGATGAGGCGCTGCAGTCTGGAGAGCAGGGAATCCTTGATGAGGCGCTGCAGTCTGGAGAGCAGGGAATCCCTGATGAGGCGCTGCAGTCTGGAGAGCAGGGAATCCCTGATGAGGCGCTGCAGTCTGGAGAGCAGGGAATCCCTGATGAGGCGCTGCAGTCTGGAGAGCAGGGAATCCCTGATGAGGTGCTGCAGTCTGGAGAGCGCTCCGCATTTCTTGCTTAGGGAATTTTTAACTTTAGGAATAGTACCTTTTTCATACTTTAGGAATAGTCCACGTGCAGTGAAGTTTCTAAAGGAACTGTATCCATGACTGGTCGTCGCTGCTGGTGATAAGAGGGCTGGTTCTTTCCTCGCTCAAAGGCTAAGTATAGCTATTCAGCGAGGAAACGCAGCCAGCGTTCTTGGCGTTATACCACGGGGAGCAGGTCTTTTTGACTATTTAAATTTTTAGTTTTAGATTTTCTTTTATATAATAGTTTCTTCTTTTATATTGTATATAATTAGTTTTAATCGTAAATATTATAATTTTAATTATTATTTTAGTTAACTTCATTATTATAATTTTTGTAATATATTATAAACTCTTTAAGTTACAAAAATAAACGAAGTAGTAAATAAAAAGTAAATTACAATATATGCGTGTATATATATATATATATATATGTAGGTGTGCTGCGAAACTTAAACTTGAAGTGTAAAGGATATATATATATATATATATACGTTTTCATCAGAATCGGTGCAGCCATTCTGAGGAGATTAGCCCGGAAAAATGACAGACAAACATTTTACAAATTGTTTCATGTTTATAACTCCCGAGCTCGATCAAAGGCAGTTATTTCGATGTTAGAGATAGCCACTTTAATTTAATTTATATGTCTAGATACATTAAATGTCAACCATTCCGTTTGCTTAGTATTACCATCGTAAGTCCTTAAATACTGTACAAAGAACTCGTTTGTCATCTTTGAATAAGCTACATTGATCTCCGCGACTGACTACTCATTGAGCCGGAAAATTTCCGACAATAACGACGGAGTCAAACGTTATGATATACCTTTAATACTAGAGTTAAGTTTACCGCCCCTTACATAATAACTGTTTTCAAGTGCTTAGGGTCTATATATACATAATATTATGTCCACCCCTAATAAAGTAAAACCGCTGACTTCTATAGCACACGCCGTTCACGGATTTGTACATTTCATGTATAATTTTAATATTGTGGAAATAAACCAAGAGAACTTTCGGGATCGAGTGTAAAAGTTTTTTTTTTAATTCAGAGCGGCCTTAACAGTACGCCTTTCTAATTATGATGGTTATATACTAGATTTTATTTAAATTCATTTATCATTTTCATTCATTCATCATTTATAGTTATACGTCTTAGAGCCACGCTGCTGATACAATAGTTGTAGCACGACAGGATCGGCTCGATCGGGGTAGGACGACGCACGCACAGAACACCAGCGTAAAATAGCATCTTTAGGCTTCTGCGTTTCCTACGGTGAGTGTAGAGAACCGGAGACTCTTTTTACGGGAAACGAGGCTTTCGATCTTAGTCCTCAGGAGTGAGAACATATCTGCATTTTGACTCTTATTCGAAGATAAATTTAGACGTGTATGGTCACAGCATCTACTTACCATCAGGTGGATTGTGTGCTAATTTGGCACCATTATTCTATATAGAAAATATAGCAGCCGAATGAAAGGCCACCGTAGAACTCAGGCGCTTTCATTGCTTCATAAAGTCACCACTCAGCCACTCTTGGCAGGTAGATGTGCAATCGCAGTTTTTTTTTATAATTTTTGAATTGTTATAAGAAATTTGCTGCGGCCTACCTCCTATTTCGGTTTCCCTTAGTTGCCACTTCCAACACCCACGGGAAGATATTATAGCCCAACTAACACATCAAAGCACTATAACGGCCGACTTACGGCATTTCTGTATCGTTTTCGCATTTTGAGTTAGTTCTATAGCAGCAACGGCTACTGTAATTCATTTACACAAATTATTCGGCTTTAGATCCTAAATAGGTTCACTATAGTTGTTTAATTGTATTACATTCGTATAATATTAGCATTATTGTGTTCAAAGAAGGTATCAATTGCATTAAAGAAGTGTTATACTAACAATATTATTAATAATAAATATGTTAATTACATAACAAAAGCACTTGCATTAGAATGTAATAAATGAATGATGGGAGCTATTTAAGTGTTGACAGTTAGAACTTAAATAAACCCTAGATCATTGAAAAAACATCTCTATTACGCGGTACTAAATATTTTAATATGATTAACGTTGTAGTTTAACTACTTAATTTGTCTCTCAATATAATAGATGGGCAAAGAAATACAGTCAAAACTGAGTGAGTGACACGATCATATATTTGTTAGCATCAAAACAAAATTTATGAATATTTTGGCTCTTTTGTTATTTCATGCCATCAAATATTACTGCATAATGTAGTTTACTGTAAATATCTATATAAGTTTCACAATATTCCAAAGCAATATTTCCAATCTATAAAATTTAAATTAAGTTTGTAATATGTTTCCCTCAAACATATAAGTAAAATGCTTTTACTTTAATATTACAATATTTCAACACATTGCACAGCAGCAGAGTGGCGCAGTGGAAGCGTGCTGGGCCCATAACCCAGAGGTCCGTGGATCGAAACCACGCTCTGCTAGTTCGGTTTTATTTTTACATTTCGTTCATTTAATTCGCTAAATCATTTTTCATGGTAAATTTCATTAAAATTTAATTTTGATAATTAGTTGACTAATGTCCGTTTTCCTGGCAAATTTTATGGTAATTTATTTCAAACATCAAAGAAATATGAAAAGAAAAAAATCTGTAGTTTACGTATAAAATTCTATGCCTTATTAATTTGGAAAATATTGCGATACTAAAAAAAGTTCCACAGTTAAATTTTTATTAATAAATTCTTTCTTAAATTAAATCTTGGCATCTAAGTATACAGTTTTAGTTGTATAATAAAAAAACAGTTTTTTTATTGTGTTATTGTTGTTATTAGGAAGGTGCTGCTGCCCATCTCCTGCCTGTCTCCCTCTGTCGCCTCTTACGACACCCACGGGAAGATATGGGGTAGTGGATATTCTCAACCGCCACTACACGGCATACCTCAAAACCTGAAAACTAAGTTGTAAAACCAGTGCGTGTTACCAGTGATGACCTACGGAACCGAGACGTGGTCCTTCACTGCTGGCCGTATGAGGACGCTCAAGTGTCAGCGAGCTATGGAGAGGGCTATGCTCGGAGTTTCTCTGCGTGATAAACTTAAAAATGAGGATATCCGCAGTAGAACCAGAGTGACCGACATAGCCCAACGGATTAGTAAGCTGAAGTGGCAATGGGCCGGCCATATAGCTCGAAGAACCGACAACCGTTGGGGAAGAAGGGTTCTCGAGTGGCAGAATCGTACCGGTAGGCGAAGTGTAGGGCGACCCCCACTAGATGGAGTAACGACCTCGTAAGGCATGCAGGAAGTCGATGGATGCAGGTGGCTCAGGACCGTGCTAAGTGGCATATCTTGGGGGAGGCCTATGTTCAGCAGTGGACTTGTGAAGGGCTGTGGAAATGATGATGATACAAAGTTTCATACGTCTGAAGTAAGTTTTGAAACACTTATTCTTGTCCGCCTCAGACACCTCTTCTATGATCTGTTCAAATGCTACTAACGCATCTTCCGGCGATAAAAACTGTATCTCTTTCAGCTGATTCACACGGCACCAAATTAGGGTTGTAAAGAGGTTGAAACAAAGCATTGTCATTGTTGTGTCGTCCAGGAAGTCCCTCGTATTGAGCGCCAAGTGCGCGGGCAAGTTGTTATGGTAGACGTAGTCCACGGAGCACCGTATTCGATTGTTGTCCACAGCATTGACAACTTCTAGAAAGCGTTTGGTTGTATACTGTATAAACAACATTGATGCTACTTCGATTTCATTAAGAAATTGACAACAAATACCTCTCCAAAGTGAAAATACTAGCGCTTAAAATCTTCTCTTTTTTTAAACGTGGAAATGCCTACGCAACCCGCCTTGCGGGGGCAAGGTCAGACTCGCTCCCACTAAAACCTCGTGATGCACCTTCACCGCATACTGGCAGAGCTGCGGAAACTATTTCGCACACATCCGCGGCCCAACACCATACAGCCTCTCCTCAGGAGAGGACAATTACTCCCATTAACCTTCTCAGGTATTGCACACCAAAACACTAAGCACGCATTCCTCCGTGGCCTCTAAATACACCTAAATAGCACCCTCCTCCCCACCTCTCCGAGCCTGGCACGTGGAGGCCATAGGACAAGGAAAATCGAGTATTCGAAAGCAACAGTGAGTGAAGACTTCGCCGCTATCCAAGTTTCAGTCGGAGGGTAGAGAGAGCGACACCTCTCAATACCGACACTCTTCTCCCCCTGCGGATCCACCTCCACCCAACGCGAAGCTAACCTGCTCACGTGAAAGACTTCTTATAATACTCTTACAGCAGTAATTCTGCTTCTCGTCACCAATTATGGTATTAAATTCGCCATTTTCGATTGTATATACCATCATATATATGTCATCAAGTATTTATTAGATAATAATCATAGACACATACAACCAACTTTGCAGCCAACTAAAAACAATCAAGTCCACTTCAAATTAATATGATAGGCGATGGCTGCCATTGTGTCATACTTGCGAACAGGTGTGGGATGGTCTGGTCTGGTCTGCTCTGCTGTTTGTATTGATAAGCTGATAATCTGCAAATTTTAATGTTCTTTATTAAGTTTGAACATGTTTTAATTTCGATCGTGTCCACTTTTATACGTGGTAGAGCCACGCTGCAGTTATATTACGGTTGTAGCACGAATTGGTCGGCTCGACCGGGGAAGGACCACGCTCTCACAGAATACCAGCCTAAAATTGCAGTTTAATGCTGCTGTATTTCGTATGGTGAGTCTAGCGAACCGGGGACCCTTTTTACTGGAAAAGAGGTATTCCATCTTAGTCCTAACGGATGAAAACGCTTCTACGTTTAGATACTTAATCGAGGATAAATGTAGACATCTGTGGGCCATAGCATCCCATCAGATGGACTGTATTCGCTTAACACCCTTATTCTAAAAAAAACTTGCTAGTAAGTGAATTCTGTTGCCCAAAGTCTACCTTTATCCACGATTAATAACAAAAGAGTCGCCAAGTCTCGA